AAATCAAAACAGGAAGAGTTAGGAACCAGCTGACAATCCAGTCTCATTACCCGCGGCTCACCCAGCCTCACGGTCACAGAGGACTTGCGGGGCTGCAGGGATGGCAAGGATGGCTCCTCCCACCTTCCCTGTCAGGCCTCCCCTCCAGCACTCAGGCCCCACACTCAGCCTGAACTAGGATCTCCAGTCGGTGGCTAATGGGCTCTGAGCATCAGGTCGGTGCCTCTGAGTGTCCTGCGGTGCTTGGTGTTGAGCAGGCGCTCAGCACCCGTGCACAGGATGGAGCTCACCCCCCGAAACCATTGCCTGGCAGCCAGGGAGAGGCCCTCTGGTGCCCACGGAGATGGGAGAGCTCACTCCCTTTGTGACCGTGAAGATGCAAAGGCCCCTGCGGCTGTGTGTCCTCTCCCCTGGCTGTGTGACCACTTCTCCAGGGTCCTGTGATCCCAGCAGACGCTGGGTTCTGCCACTCTGACCTCGCAGCCAATCTCACGTGCCAAGGGAGCTAGGCCGGGTCCCACCCCCACACTCCCAGGAGAATTGAGGCTGAGAGGCCTCTGGCTTCCCCCCTGGGGCCTGGCAAACTTGTCCTCACCATCTGGAGGCCTCACAGTGAGGGGAGGAGAGACTCATAGGAGACCAGCTCCTCACGGCTGACTCCCTCCCTCATCTCCCAGAAAGCCTGGGGCTTGGGCAGGGGTGGTGCCCAAAGCTTTGAACCTGGGGTCTGTGAGGGTGCTAATTCTCATTTCCTTCCGCTAGACTCATTCCCCTGAGATTCCTGCTGGCTCCTCAGGGACTCAACGCCCCCAGAACTGGAGCCTGCCCTAACCTGTGCTCCAGTGCCTGAGAAAGGTGGGCAGTGTGGCTACAGGATTCGGGGTGACTCCTTACCACGCCGCGGGGTCGTACTCAGCCCAGACACGCACGTACTCATCCAGGTGGTGAGGACCCAGGATGGAGGAATCTCGCGTGAGGTACTCAAAGTTGTCCATGATGACAGCAACAAAGAGGTTCAGCATCTGTGGGAACCCCAGGGGCCAAGAGGAAGTGGGGGAGAGCGAGACCCATCCAAACACATTTATACAGAGGTCCAGAGGGAGGGAGATGAGATGGAGAAAGGGAGACAGACAGAGAAAGAGAAGGGGGGACGGGATAGGGAGGAAAGGCACATGCTCACACAAGGAGCCCAGACAGGGAGATGGAGAAATGGAGATGTGGGAGGGAGACAGGGGAAGATGGAGACAGGAAGTTGGAGAGAGAGGTGAGAGAGGCTGTGTGAAATGATGGCCAAAAGCAAGGGAACTGCCATCACCCTAAGCCCTCCCATACCTGGCCTCCAACAAGGCCAGAGTGAAGGCCCCACGTGGGCAAGAACCTTGTGTTCCCAGCCCCAGCACAAAGGAAGGACTCAGCAAATATGGGCGGGGGCAAAAGTACTTACAGTTGTGAATATATGAAACAGATTATTTGTGGGTTTTATTATTTATTAGTAATTATTTATTAGTGACTGTATGCTTTTCCATACAAACAACTGTACACCTACTTTTGTCCCACCCTGTGTTTCTAGGATGGATGGATGGATGGATGAGTTTTCCTGCCCTCATCTGCATCTGGTAGCTCCTTTTCAGGTGTTCTTCTGGGCCCTTAACACATGGGGAGCTTGCAACAGTTTTGTCCCAGGCCTTGCAAAAGTTGCTTCTTTAGTGGCAACTGGTACTCCCCTTTACACTTAAATGCTG